CATTTCATGTCATTAGCACCTCTAGTTATATATTTACTGAGAAAAATGGTGACATGTTCAGTACTTATTTTACCCGCTGTATATCAGTGAATGAAGGTGAAAAATACAACACCTTTTTAAATCCCACCTTGTTGGCTCACATTACGCAGTTTGCTGTTGTGACCAAATCCCATATTGTCAGGAGTGTGGGAAGTTTTGACTCAAAACACAGGGAAAGAAAAAATAAATACAACACCCTTACATGACCTTAAAAAAAACACGAATACTTGAATTAATGTTTGAAAGTATAAAGAAAAAGGAAGCGAGACATCCTGGTGTCTCACTCAGAATTTGTTTTTACTTGGCTGCAGAAAACAAAACAAAATAAAAAAACCCATCAGCTTTCTTAGAATTCCATCAGGTGTCATCATGTGAATCCAGTTTCCCCTCTGGGTTTAACAAAATTACCTGTAATCTGATCAACTCACATTTAAGTCCCATAAAAAGAGGAAAATAACCTTTGGGTACTTTTAGCTCAAAGATTCAGGTTGGATTTTAGATATCGTTTGATTTGACTCACTTCCTGAAGTTATTGAAACCAAAAAGCAAGCTTTAGGAGAGCTCATGAACTGTATTCCCATTGCTAAATCCCAGATTACATCTTGACACAAGAGTGAAACCTAATAAATTCCTCGGGTCAGGCACCTTGTGTCATCTTTCCTTTGAGAGGAGGGAACCTCTAACAGAAAAGGCCTCAGGATGRCATCAGTGCAGAGAGCAAGAAAGATTAAAAAAAGATTAAATATTAGGTGTCAAAAGATTGTTTTTTACACCTAGAATATATTCTGTTTTCTCACCAAAGCATGGTTTGTGAAAGTCTTGATTTCAGCAGGCCAGGAAGAAAAAAAAATACTTAAAAAATCAGCCATGGTGTGCCCCAGAATTAGYTCAAGTACACTGATCCAAGTGCTGAAGCTGAAGCAGCATTTTTAGTCAAACAGGCTGCCACACATCCACACGCTGTGGTTACATACAACCAATCTATCAACACTCAAATCTCTGCGGGCCTTTTTTTTTTTCTGTTTGTACCTGAGGATAACGTCAAAAAGGAAAAATCCAAGATCAACTTTAGGGCCCCAAATAGCCCCGCTGCTGCAAACRGTATCAACCAGGATTTGCGTCACTGACAGCTCTTTGTATTCGCATACTTTCCACAGATCAAGTGTGTTCATGCAGCAGCGCCTCAGAGCCGTGAGTCACACAGACACCAGTGGAGTTGAGTAAGAATGGAGGAGTGTTTTAAACGTCACTGTACTTCAGTAAAGTCTACTCCATGAATGAAAGGTGAATAGATGGGGGGGAAAAAAAGATAAAGGTAAACCAGCCTTTCCTCCTTCATCACAGCTTTATGACTGACGTGTCCTGACACATTCTGACTCTTGATGCTCTCTAAGTACGTGACAAATGTCAGGACCGGTTAACACATTAGTCATACATCACTGTTTTTATAATACACGAGTATAAAACAGTTCATAACACACACTATTATTTTTTTATGTGTCATAATATTTTATACAGAAGAACAAAAAAATTAAAAATAAAAAGGTCAAAAATCCAGAATGATAAATCACATCATAAATATTAAACACACTTCCTGAGAGGACTGTTTGTGAAGCGTTCCAAAGAATTACTGACAAATCTTGTGTCAAATAAGTCTTACTCCATTCAGGAAGTTATTTTTGCTCSGTACAACTTTTTAATATGTGTTTGTGCGCTTTACGCAATGGCAGTTACTCATCTTTTTAGTCATTTGCAGCCACTCCTTTCAACTTTACAGTCAAATTCAGGTAAACTCTGTCTCACCCTGACTTTATGTTGCCATCTAGTGACACAAAGATACAGTTCAAAAGTTTAAACAGTGTTTACCATAGACATCTGTGGTATTTACAGCTCAGGAGACTGGTGTCATCTTGTGGTCATAAAATGAAAGTAAAACTCATGTTTCAGCTGAGACAGTAATAAAAGCTTTACTGTTAAAATTTGCTTCAAGAACAAAAAATAATAATAATTTAAAAAAAAACAATAATTAAATGATAATTTCATCAGATGGCCATATGTGGAACCATATTTCACCTGAATGTAAAAGGCGTTTGTATGGAGCTAAATCAGGCTCATATTTYTTTATTTAAAAGTATAAAAATAAAATCAAAATTGTGCTTAGACAGAAAATATGTGACTTTTTATATATAAATGAATTGCTGGATGATGTAGATTGTTTAAAGGTTGTCTGGGACTCTCTTGGAATTTAAGCATTGCAGCATTGGCATAATTTTAGTATATAACACTAAATTAACTTGAGTTTAATAAATAACTACAGGAACATCCCATCTGATTGTTTTCAATGTGGAGCATTTCACTGTAGTATTATTTTTGACCAGTAGGTGGCAGCAGATCCATGGAAAAGTACAGTGTACAACAAGCTAACCAGCTCAGCATTTTACTGATCAACTTTATTCACCGGATATTGGGGGAAACGCAATTTATTCGATTGCATTTTTCACAGGAGGACGAATGGCCGTGGTTTTATTTAGTTAACAGGACAGTTTTGTCATTTAAAAGTGGGCAGCGCGGCTRCCACCGCCCACTCTGACGTTTAGCTGCTCATGCGGCCTTCGCTGTGTTGACTCACAGGACAGCGGAGACATGGCGGAAGACTGGAAGTCCAGGTGACTTCTTGCCTTTTAGTTAAAACTCCTTTGGGCGCAGTGTTGCAAAGGGGTTAGCCGGAAAACTGGCAGCTTTGATAGGTAATCGGTTCCTCCTGGAGAACATGGAGGTTGCGTCGGAGGGAAAGGCTGCTGAAGAACTCAGGTAGGTGGCAGCAACTGGGGAAGGGCTGATAATTACCGGGTTAGACGTGGCTGTCGCTTTATAATATAAGCAATATTACTAAATAAATATTAATGAGAACCCGCTTCTTGATTAAATAAAGCAAACAGTGGTTGTTTTGAGGAAGAAACTCACGAAGTGTGTACAAAAAAAAAAAGAGAGACTCAGCTAAGCTGAGCTAGCTGCTAGCTAAGCTAGGTTAAATTGGACATTTGATGTCAGAACTGCATTTGTTAAACCTTATAAATTGTAAAATTATTCGTAGTTATCGAAGGCTTTATTTGCATTAATTCAAAGTGCACTTTTGATACTATCAGAATATTTATCATTAGTTTTGCGTGGTGGTAATTGCTAACTTATCTCTTGTGCTAACATGCTAGCTGTCAAGTGATGTTTTCCTATCTGTGCCTTTTTTGACAAAACACAAACATTATTAAGTCACTGTTTACTCTGACCTGCGCTAAGTATATGTTTATATTTCTGAAAAAAATGTTTAAAGTTGCTGCTTTACCTTATTTCACCCACAGTTAAGCAAATTATAGCCTTATAATTGAAGTTTAGAGGTTAAAAAAGTAGAAGTAAACAAATCTGTTTTGAGGTTCAAGATGCAAAGCTTGCTCACTTAAATATAAACTAACAAAAAGTTTAACATTTAACCCTAAAGCCTTTCTTGGAAACATATTGCTACATAAAATGCAACACTCTGCAGAGTTTGAAGAGTGTATCTAACTTTAAACCAAGTACATGATGTGATTTGCTTAATGGCTTCTGGCTCCCACAGCTGATTCAGTCATATGTTCATAAATGTCCCCTTGTCCGCACTCATTACCTGTGTTAAATCTTGAATCTAGTTCTGTGTGGAAAATAAACCTCACAGTTGCAAATCAGCCTAAATAAAACAACAGATTAGGGTGCATATTGTGTGCTAATGCSTACAGATAAAGAGTACTGCAGTTGTCCTTTAAACAGAAGAATGCTGCCTCCAGATGCCYTCAGCAGATTGCTTTCTTACTTTCCTTGTGCCATTATTTAACTAGTTTCTTTCCGTTTGACCTCTGAGCTATGAGAAAAAAGAATGTTATCACTTTATCGCTCAGAAGTGACTTGTTTTTATTTTAATTTAGTTTTGCCGAGAAGCTGCTTCGGCCTCTTATAATCATTTTGTTTTTGACAAGAGTGGAACAGGACATTCATTCATATGATACAACACGACGCAACTGACTTTGTTGGTCAGCATTTCTGGTTAGTCGATAAAATGCTGAAGATGAAAATTTTCAGAGTGTTCTTGGGAAATGTGTTTAGATTCATGCAACCGCACTGCTGACAAAAGTGTTTTTTTTTGTTTTTTTTTTGTTTCCTTACTGGTTGTTTCTCCTCCCTGCCTTCCTGTTTGTGTTCAGGAGGGAGCACTGGAAGCTTCTGTCCAGTCTGAAGACCACGGTGGAGGGTCTGTTATCCACCAACAATCCCAATGTGTGGTCGCGTTATGGCGGCTTGCAGCGACTGCACAAGGACATGAACAACATCCTCAGCCACGGGCTGAAGAACGAGCAGGTGAAGACGTGCTTTCTGTTTCTTTTTACTGATTCTCGTTTGTCAAAAACACGATTACGAACACYTCTGTTTTTATGCGTGTGGTCAAAAATGATGTCATGTTTCACACTTGTCGTTCTAATAATTACGTTTTTGAATCAATCACTTGCTGAGTGTAATAACTTTATAGTCGTGGTTATAAATGGGCGTATAACATCTTGACTTTTTGTTGCAGGTGTATTACAAGCAGCGTGACTACTGGCCGTTTGTTTGGTGTGTTCGATACATCAGCCCTCACCTTGCCTCACTTGTTGAACAGGTACAGTCAGCGGTGAACTTTCTCTTACTCTTGTTTGGATCATTTCAAAGTGTTCCGACAGTGCTGGAATTTCAAACATTTCCCAGCAGGTCATTGTTGTGCAGGMTTTAGATGTATCCCAGCTCCGTCACATATGATTCAAAGGAATGAATGACCTCAGCAAATTACCATCAAGTTTAGCAGAAGCCTGTCAGTGACACGTCATTTTAAGCCAGCTGTGTTGAAGCAGCAAAGCGTCTCAAACATGCATGTGTGACACAAGGATCGGGGCGGGGACTGTGAACATGAAACTGGATATGTAGGCTGACTTTGTGTTTCYTTCTGTGGTGTATTATTTATACAACAAGAGTTGTGCACTTTTATCACTCTTAATTTTTGTAGTTTTCAATTCAATTCAGTTTATTTATATAGCGCCAAGTCACAGCAGCTGTTGTCTCAGGGCACTGTACACACAAAAACAAACAAAACAATAAATCTAAAGAAGCCAACAGACTGCGCAGGATCCTTTTCATGTCTTTTTAAATTATTATTATTATTTTATACAAATTTGTCATGACTGTATTATTTAGGCTGCAAATATGACTGTAGTTGTAAGTTTGTTGTTGGGATGAAGCATTTGTTAGGAGAAAGATAACCTACTGCTGAGTACAAGCTACTTCAAAAGTATTTTTAAAAAAACAAAACAGCAATTTAATTTATAGAATTTCACTTGTTTTGCTTATAGTTTCATATTCATATTTCCTTTTGGTAGCTTTCAAACCTGTCCATATTAAATAAATGCTTAATTTCAAACAATTAATTAGCAAATAAAGTCTTAAAAAAGAGATAGATAAAGTTAGTAAAGCATGCTTGTTTGTCTTTGTGTCTATGGTGTATAATGATGTGATTGTGATGCTGTATTTCTGAGTGTTTTATGTGCTGCAGAACAGGAACCTGCTGTAAAACAGCAATTTTGCTGAGTCAGGCTTGATTTTTAATCTTTTCCAGTTAAATAAATAAAATCAAAAATCAAATCAAGTTTTTATTTGTTTTTAACTTTTTCCTGGRCTAGAGCTCATAGCCACATCCAAGGCTCAAGGCACCTCACATGGTATAAAAATAATTTAAAATATATATACTTTTATACTGAAATTAAATTAAAAAACAAACAAACTGATGTTTTATTTAAAAAAAACAGATGTTTGGCAGATGCAAAAGTGAAAGCCTGAGCAGTAGGGTTAGGCATAATCGTATCGTGTGCAATTAATCGTCAGAAAAACATTTTTTGGCACTTGACGATTAATACGATTAACGCCACCAGGCAGACTAACTGGAGATTTCTCCGGTCAGTCCGCTTGATGCTCCTCTCCATTTTAAATATGACAAACATTTTTGTTAAAAGTGCTATAATTTATTTATCATAGCTCTGGTTTTACATGGTCTCTCAACAAAATGTAAAATTTGATGTATAACATGAAGTCTGTCATTTTGACACAGTTTGGAACAGATTTTTACAGAGACCAAATCTTTCCCACTAAATTGTTCAGTGACCAGGACATGAGGGTGTCCAGGGACTCCAGGGGAGTAATCGTCAAATTAATTGTTATTGGCTAAATATCACAATTAATCGTGATTGATTTTTTTGCCCATATTGCCCAACCCTACTGAGCAGTCATTATTTATAAACAGTTATTTGAAATGCTCATAAGGAGGTATCTTTAAATTGTTTTTATTTGCTGTTTGTTCCGTTAGTATTTTTTTTTCTCTGAAGCAAGTGTCCAGCTTTGAGAACAACCATCCCTCAGTCACAAGCCCCTCTGTCAAGATTTAGCAGGATTTTCTTATAACAAAAGGTCTAAGCGTTGCTGCACTCTAATTATCTTATCTAGCTTGCTGTGCTGACAGGCTGCAGTTAGAGCTCAGCTCTGATGTAACTGTGATGTAAGGATCATACGATAACCTTTGGGAACCGTGTTGCTTATTGTCTTTTTTTTTAGCGTGTGCAGCTCTATCATTTTCCTGTTGATCCTCAGATAATTGTTAAAAAGCCTCTGATTGTTTCTAACGATTTTCTCCGTTTCGTCACGTCTGCGTTGTCTTTCTGTCTGCCCTCAGTTCAGACACCTGGAGCCGGTGCTGAGCAGCGGGATGCGGAGTGCAGGGGAAAGCTACAAGGCTGAGCGCTGGCTGCTTCACAGCRTGCAGGTTCACAAGCTGTCGGCTCAGCTCAAACCGCTGCTCAAACATCGAGCAAACACACATAAGTATTATAACGGTGAGCATTAGCTTAGTAATTCGAGAAGAAAACGATCGGCACGGCAAATCGGACATCGTCTGCCTTTTTTTTTCTCCCCTGTTATTTCCTTCACTTTCTCTGAGTCTTCTCACGTGTTTGTTTTTTTTTCAGAGGATTCCTTCCTGCTGAGTGAGCCTCACGTGATCGCCATGTTTCAGTGTCTGGAAGCAGTGGAGCAGAATAACCCCAAACTGCTGGCTCAAGTAGACACGGTTGGGGTGGGTTTTACTCACTTCTAATGTGCATGTGTTTTTAAAAATATCAACTGTATTGATAAAATTAAAGCATTGAATGGTGGTTCACACCCTGGGGGCAGGGCGGGGGCGGGGCACCACATAGCACATAACTTTGTCTGCTCAGAGGCTGTAAAAATATGATAAAAGATGTTTAATGCGTTGAGGATATGTTTTTTTTGTTGTTTTGGGGGTCAGCTTGGTTTGAGAGTAAGAAAGTGGGTGTCCAGTCACTGGTTCTCAAGGTCTGCAGATGCAGTGATTGAATGACCTCTTCAGGTTCTGCAGAAGCCAATCACCCATTTATGTAAAGGTGTGTTGAAACAGAGAAACCTCTAAAACAGGTGTCAAACTCCAGTCCTCGAGGGCCTCTATCCTGCACATTTTAGAGGTTTCTCAGCTCRGACACACCTGATTTGCATAAACGTGATTACCAGGCTTCTACAGAACCTGAAGAGGTCATTTTAATCACTGAATCAGGTGTGTTGAAGCAGAGAAACAAGACATGTCGGTTAGCGGCTTTGAAACAGAGCAGTAGGCCTGGTGGACCAGGAGCGGACCCTCTTGGTTCAGACGGTGAAGGCTCTTCACCCGCTGTCTGTTTTGCCCCTCCAGCTGTCGCCCCTGAAGGGCTCGCTCTGCGTGGGTCTGCTGAAGAGCCAGAGTCTGTGCGTGCTGCCGGGGTCCAGCGGGACCTGGAGGAACGCCGACGCYACTCCTGGGGGGGACTCCCTGAACCGCAGACTCACCGCCTCGAACTGCTCCCTGCGAGACGCGGTCGGCAGAAACCACAAACCTGCAGACCCCGCCYCAGCTAGACCCCGCCACATAAGCAAGGAAAGCATCAGTAACAAGCGTAGGTTCAAAACCATTTCTGTTTGTTCAATTTTTTTTTATGACTCTGATTGATTCTCAGAGCAACATACTTGTAATATTATTGTTTTTAAGCCATTTGAAATTTAAACAGCTGATAAAACCACTTTTAGCTGACTGTCGATATGATGAATTGATGGTTTTAGTAAAACTAAGATTATTGATGCGTTTTGCTTTGAACCAATTTTATGTTTGTGAATGTTGGATGGTTTGCAGCTCATTCCTRAAAAAGATTTTTATCTCAACATGCAGTGTAGTTTATCAGCTTGTTTTTAGTTTATTTTAATAGTTTATTCATTTCGAGTAAAAACAAAAATTTCTATACAACAAAAAAGAAACACAAATTTCACAAAATGAAAGGAAGCAGAAAAAAAAAATCTTATATCTGCCC